GCGGCAGCTGTATTAACGGCCGCGAGACGGACGGCGACGATGAGTGCCGGTGCTTCTGCTGCTGCAATTGGTGAACAACTAACTAATTGACTTTACAGTGGAGGAAATTAAATCTAAGATTAAGTTAGTTAAGAGTTGAGACGCCTTCTCTAACATCATTAAAGCTACGAGTAAGAAAGGACGACGCGTAACGAAAAAACAAGGAGAGGCTTAATCGACCACCTATCAGTTGCTTGTCTAATCAACAAATGGCAGTAACTCACACAGCTGAGCTAGACGTTTTCCGGCCAATTATGGAAGCACCGTAGAGGCGCGTCGTAGCGCGTCTATGAGATGTGATTGGGCCTACTGGGTTGGCCCAATCACATCTCGTATAGAAGAGACCAAGTTCGGTGGGTTTCGCTGCAAAAGAGTGGAGGTGCAGCTGGTAAGATGTTCTCGGATTGCGCTGGCACTGCTTTGTCCTTAATAATGCACAGATGCTGAGAATCAATACAGTGTATGTTTACGTATGTAGTAACCTCTTAGACTGTAACGTCTCACGACACTGTGGCCCCTGTAACTCCTCCCTGAGGCATGGTATGACTCTGATGATCTTAATCCTGCCTTACTGACGTTATATCATGCGTTCCTAGCATATGTAGAAGGTAACTGTGATGTTTTAATACTTTGCAATCAATAAATAGCTGCATGGTGAAATACACATGACTCCAAATGAAACGGTAACGGCAGCTTCGATAATCCATTGGACAATAAGATTAATTAAAAGGCATCGATGAGGATAAGGATGGATTTTCCGAAAAAAAAATCGATTTAATCTAGCTTGGATATAGACAGCTAAAAAATTATAAATCGGTACATATATGCTGCTTCGTGTATATTAAAGTAGATTGTGTCTGCGTCTTAGTAATGTACTAAATAACGTATCGCAATGTGTACCAAAGGCGTCAGGAATTCTATGACATACACAGGCAAGTCTTTTTACGCTATTCTTTGCGTACATTCAAATGAAAACATCTAATTTGCGCATGTTCTATCTTTCCATTCAACTGAGCCAGCTTAGGGCGACCACTTAGTCTCGTGTGACATCAGGCTCGAGCAGATATCTAACTACGTGAGAGTGAGCCAATTTGCATTTAAATGAGATGGAAATGACAGTAAAACTTAGCGGGAAGTTGACCTGTTTTCTGAGCAGATCATGTTTTTCCACATAAATGCCTGATAGTTCCATTGTCAGATAAGAAGTTATGAAGTGCGAGCTTTCTCCCCTTTACTGAGCGCTTCACGGACCGTTATCTCGTCCGCGCAGTAAAATGGTAAACACGAAAGCCGGGTTCCTTGTGAAACAAAAATTCGCTCGAAAATTAGTTTGGATTACATTGGTTCCGATTGTATCAATACGGTTTTTTTTGTCTTGAAAAAAACTGTGTACGCAAGTGTCACTCGATAAACATACTGTTTGTGGGAACCAATATGACTGTTTCACAGAGCCTCTTATTTAAAAAAAAAAATACTATTTTTATAGAAAAACGTACTAGAAGCAGGTTTAAAAGTGCTGAATATTTCGATGATTTAGACACTTTGACAATACTAAGTCTGTCGTCACGGATGACTTATCTAATAATACAATTTAACGTTTATATCTATATGGATTATCTACCCCTATGCATTGTACTAAAACATAGTGACTTAGCCTTTACTACTTACAGGTCCTAAAACAAAAAGAAAAAATTTGACATTTTACTATCATTGTCACTGAAAAAAATGATTAACTATTTTTACACAGCGTATAATATCACCAATACTTTAATGTCTATCAAAAATACCATTCCGTCCGAAGAAAAAGATTACACAGTGACATTGGATACATCCATAAGACAAGAAACTCGTCGAGTCTTCTTATTCTCCTTGACAACCATGAACGTTGGAACGCCCTTATCAGCTTCCTACCCAACTCCGTCCACCGCCGTCTTTGGGGATTGCAGAGGTCCACGTCGTCGCAGCGATCGCCTCCTCTGGGAACGGAGGAAATTTACCACTGTGTTGTAGAAAGCGTCGAGGGCTTCCGAGTAGTCGGCTAATTACAGTGAGTGTTACAACTCTGCCGAAAACCGAAACTGAAGACAAGTATTGGGCAGCGAAAATGTAAACTTCGTACACGTATATGGAAATGACAGTGGACCCCGCTCGATTCATTTAGCCACTAAAGTAAAAAGCGAGTATTCTTAATAAAACCAATAGATTATATTATTGTATTAAAAAGGCTTTGACTCGCATCCTGTTTGTCGATAATGTCGGTGATTTGTTGTAACACTACGATCGCCGATATATCCTGTAATAAGCAAAGCTTTGCAGGTATATAGTTCATCGTGTTAGTTTAATCCTATGAGCTATAAAATAGTCGAAAAACATTGGTCCGGGTGAAAACTTTATGAAGCGAGTTAGCATCGTTCTATATGAGCTCTTTGTTACTCCAGTGGGATTAACGGAACTTACAACTGCGATGTTTCTAGTACCGATGAGTTATATATTAAAGAGATGGTAAACTCAGCCTTAATTTTCAACAATGAATGAACATACATTTAAGCATATTATATATCAATTTTTCCTGTGGGATAGCAGGAAGACCACACCCTACCAGCTACGATCCATGTCACCAATGACTATGGTAATTATAAGTATTGTCATAACACTAAGTAGTAAAAAAGAGCAGCTGTGCAGTTGCTAGACGCCTCTTTGTGTTCCGTTCTTCTTTTCTCGTTCCTACACGGACTCTAGCTGCTGTTCTGGCGGACGCACAGCACCGTCGAATCTGCCAAATCCTGTTTCTTTTTCTTATTCCACTAACTTCCCTCGCACGGCTCGTGCCCCTCTGTCGATCTTTCCCTCTCGCTCGGCTGCAGTCCTGCCTCAATTTTGCTGTCCTATAGAGTTGTTGCTACTGTCCGAGACAGGGTTTCTGTAGGACTTTCCAACTCTTCTTGCCTCCGGACTCGCGGCGAGTACCGCGGCTACTGAAGGCTGTCGCTTTGGTCAAGTGCTGAACAGCGAGATGGGTGAAGGGGAAGGCATGTGTACGAGCAAAACGCGTCTCATTGCTGCGGTGGTAGCAGGGGCATCCGCTCTGCTGGAGCGGAAATATGAAGCCTCCTTCATAGTTCCCTTAATCGGACGTATATCCCAAACTAGCCCTCTATTACGTCTCTCGCGAGTCTCGCCTAGGGAATCTAAGTACCGTACTGGTTTGCCGTTAGACTCCCTCTCTATCCTTCGTTCTCGTTTGCACAGCACTTCTCGTTCTCTATCTTCATTCTGTGCTGCAGCTTCTGCCCCTGCTTCTATAGTTCGTATACCCTGTCACCGTATGCTATGTCACTCTGAGACCTTGTCACTCCAGAAAAATCTGATGCACTTTTAATGACCCCCGTTTCACACAGCCTGGCCCCTTAGTCTTTCTGCCTGTTCCACCAACATCCGCTCACAGAGACCCACATTATTCCCGATGCAGCGCATCCACCGTCGTCCTCGAACTCGATCCCATCATTCCAGCCCTGTTGGCTACGACGATTACATAAACTGTGTGCATTACGATTTGCAAACACTTCTCTAGTGGCTGTACGTTGCTGGTGTTTTCAAATATGGGACGCTGATGAAACTATCTATCAATCAAAAGGATGGAGAGGCAGGGTAGATCAAGATCGATTCCCTATGTAACACAAACGGGAAAGAAGTGGCCTTTGAAAAGACTTTCTCGTTCCTGCGCATGGGCAATACGTTGCCGAGCTGTAAGTGTGCGTGCGGCATGTGGGAGTTATCAAAACAACAGTTCTAATAAAAAAAAAAAAAAAAAAAAAGCATGAGTACAATGAAGTCGGATTATGAGGCCGCGTACGAATTATTGTGTTAACCTTCTGAGAGAACAACACGGGGACAAAAAAAAAGAAGGAACGTTAACACTCGTAATAATACGCAGGGTAACCACAGACGCGTGTACAGGACACTCGATCAAAGTGCACTCATAACCAGGGACTGGCAAATCGAACGGTTTTAGGTGTTTGATTGTTTAACAATAGTTACCCTTGCAAATTTGCAATGGGATGTCTTGTTTGGTGGCTGAGATTAAGTAGAGCATCGAACGTAACGGACCGTAACGAAAACAATCTATAACAATTTGAGCAGCTGTTATCGACTATTCAGCTATGTGTGCGTCTAGCGAATAGTAATCTTGGCTGCAATCGGAGTGTAGAGAATGAATTACTACAGGTTTAAATTTAGAGAAGAAAAAGTGTTACCATAAACTAGAAAGTTTACGTTTAGAAACAGTCCGCCATCCGGTCTATCATGAACTGTGGGCAAAAAGGGCAACAAAGAGAATGAGTCTCCAGCTTAGTACACAGCGTAACATCTCATAGTTAATATATGTAAAATTTTGTATTGTTAGCTGCCTGCAAGGTCAAGAGTTGTCTGAACATGGCCGAAACGGGTGCCTAGGGTATTTTGCTTGATTCCTATTCCACAGGCAGCTACCTCTAATTTAAATAACCTATTGGCATAATCGGAACGGTTTAATTTTTTTTGATGGTACAATTATGTGACAGAACTATTACAAGACTATTAGATATTATAGAGAAATATGAAACACTGAGTATACAAATGCATTCATAAATAAAAACGTAAATTCCGTATTGATAGATATAATAAATTGTGGATCAACATTGTGATTTAATAACAACGATTTAAACATCTTAGCCGTTAGCTTTCATTGAAATATTCGTAGAAAATATGATCCCCACAGGTACTTGAGGTTAGTAATAGCTTTCAGAATAGATAGGTCGTCATTACTGAAGCACTTGTTCACCCAACTGATAACATTTCCTATATGTGACTAGGTGCGCAGTATTTAGCTGCTACCTAAAAGTACCTACAAAGTGCCCAATTCCCCATGTATTTTCCTAATCGATGCTGTTACAAATCCCATTTTTAATTTTAGCTCTCTCGAAGGCTAACTACGAGATGCGATTTGAGAGTGACGTCAAACATGTAATTCGAGGTAACGCGGTGCTACTTCAATGTCCAGTCCCATGACATATGGGAGACTTCCTCAGTGTCACTTCGTGGCATCGAGCCGATGGCTACGTCATCACGAGAAGCACTTACGGAGGTAAGCACATATGAATGAGCAGGAATTTAATGCAATAGTAATTGTCAAATCAAAAACATATTAATCCACCTCTCTAACAGGTCTCAGTATTCAGCATTCTATGCACTGCGATGCATGAATTTACGATGCACACTCAAGCCACATTTGTACGTAATGCACAAATTTATACATGTATATATATTGTGTTGTATTATTATTATTCGAACGTCCTATTATCGCCCGTCAGTAAGCTCCATACGCGGGCACATCCGATTCGGGCTGACATCATAAAGTCTTTTTCCAACACAGGATAAAATTAAATGTTTCATCAGAAACGGATAAAGAAGCGGTAAAAGCACGTGAGGCACAAATAACGTCAGCACACATCGGAATAAGATGTGACGGCTCCCCTGGCTGTGCAAAATCCGGATCAATCCTAGGACCCTTCAGATCTGTTGTACACTCGGCGTTCATACTGCTGCCCACATGTTTACAACTACACCCATCTTCTATTGCTGCATCCGCTAGAACCACTTCTGGAATCTAGCTGTGGTTCTTCCTCTTTTTGGCGCCATCCTCCTGCAAAATGCTCCATCACTGTCAATCTCTGATACTGTCGGTCCTCAACATCACCCTGCCCGCCGCCCGCTCTCGTTATCAAACGCAGCAGGGCAGCTACACCCATATGTAGCTTATACTTTCTGCTAAAATCCTTCGAAAATGAAAGGGTTTCATATAATATTTTCATTCGCCCTTCATCGGCGGCGATGATACCAAAAGAGATTTGCTATCCGATTTGCGTAGTATTTTAGGGGACTTTATAGTGCTACTTCTTTGTAAAAAAAAGAATGCGAAAACTATATGAAACACCTGTTGATGCTATGGTATACTTTAGAGATGAAATCCTGCTGGAACAATCTATTGATCTTTTCAACGGACACTGAGATTTTCGTGGGGAAATGCATTTGCGTACTGTCGCTACTGGGTGGGGCAAAAAAACTCACCTTAAAGCAATGACCCATCTTGTCCTAAAACTTATCCTAGTGCTGTACTACACGCTCACCCTAACCCCAGTAGGCTCGACGCCTTTCTTTAGGTTTCACTCTTTGTATGCCCGAAAATGTTTTTATAGTATGACGAACATACAGGAGCTGTAGCAGACGCCAGGAAACTCAAAAGCTTGGGTTGATCGGATCGAACATCCCTCACCAGGTGTGCTTTATTTTGCAAAAAGGGATATCTTCCCTACAATATGTAAGTCTGATTGCCTTTCGATATAGCGACTTTTGCGTTACGTCCCAGCTTAGCTAATACTTTCGCTTTTGAAAGTCATCAACTCAACTGTACCTCAATTATATGTGTTTTAGATCGCTACTTGATGACATCTTCCGGCGATTTATATGTTCAGGAAAGCCAGAAGCTGGACACGGAGGACATGAGGAAGTTTAAGTGTCAAGTCGAGGATCAATTCAACAAAAGACGCTCAACAACGATCAATTTCATCAAACTTATGGTACTCGAGCCGGTTCAAAATCAGGTTCCGGTAGTATCGTACCATAGTAAGAAGGTGGTCACTGAAGTAGGAAAGCTTACTCATTTCGTCTGTTTGTCTGAGGGATTTCCTGTTCCGAGCTACCGGTACGTTGCTTGTCTATGCTTTGGCTTCTTCTTTGATTCTAACTGTGCCATGATTTAGCTAGATCTATAGTTCAGATTATTCAACTGTCGATTATGTTGCTTTTTACCATTACAATTTACTAATTCTAGACTAGTGAGAAGTAATAACGCCAACATTGCTGAAAGAAATTTCCCATATGTAATTATTTTCCTCGCGCCTGGAGATATGTATATACTTGTAAACAACGGGGCTTCACAAATTCTGCTGTTTCTGTCTAGTGTGTCTGGTGTTTCCCTTTCTGCTTCTTTACCACCTAATGAAACAGCTATGTATGTATTGACGCTGCGTTGACTGCTCGCGACTCGTTCGTTCGCCGCGTTCGTTCGACTTCGCCCTTTTCTGTTCTCTTTTCTCGTGCGTCAGAGCCGGTGAAGGCAGAAGTCGTCTTCTCAGGATAATACAGTAGCGGAGGATGGTAAAGACCGCTTATAATCCTGTCTACTTATTCCAGTCCGTCGCATTCGTCATATCATTTCCTCGTTTGCTCCATGCCACAGTGACCGCCATTGCCTCCGCAAGCACCGTATACACCGATCTGCCTTCTTACTCTTTCGACTTCGCTTTGTTGCTGGCGCTAGCGTATCCTCCCTGGCCCTTTCTTGCTTTTGTAGTTTTCTTTTGACTGAGTAAAAAGCTTTTTGGGAACGGCTGGCGGTTCTCATTATTCTTTGCTTTTCTTATGCCCTTGTCGCATTGGCTCGACTATTATTGCGCTTCAAGCCACGGCCCGGTGAACCACCGCCGTTTGTAACAGGTCAGGATGGACTTAGTTGAAGGGTACTCTTTGTGACTGTATTTTTCCCTCAAACCGCGTCATCTATTTAAACATTTCAGTTGAGAAACCACAGCGCAATACAAGTGCTCGTGTTGAGTAACTCAGCCTAGACCCAAAATCATCGGCTTCCCATCTGATTGATCGAAGCAAATTCCATCATCCCGAAAGCAGAAAGGGAGCCGAAGACGTTCCTATGGTGGTATCGTCTGCTCACCTTCTTCAATCTTATTATACGTAATTTACTACAACATGAAATTGTGATGAAAGTAGGCGGCGGGAAGCAGTGCGACGTGTTCTGTCCGCTACTTCATTGATCCACAGGTTGAGCCGTTTGAACAAATAGTAAATGAAGAGAAGGCATATTAAGCATACACTTAACACAAAGAAAGTATTATTATTCAAATAAATAGTGCTTAAATTATCGAGCGCATGTCTAAACACCGTCATATATTTATTAAAGACAACTTGGAAAACCAGATAGGAAGCTAGAGGTAGCTAAGCTTTTGTTACCTCACAATTTGCTCGTTTCATAAACTTGTCGATTTTTTTATTTGGTTACTATTATTTTTAGTTCCTATTAAAGTGCCTACTCGACCCGCTAAGTATCGTTAATAGCTGATGTCATAGCGGTTTCGGAATCCCATGTAGAAGTCCCTATTTGAAGATATATTCATTATTCGAGTGTTTGTCTTTAATTCAGTTTCGCGCGGAACACCTTGAAACGGAGCTTCATACTAAAATCCTCTTACGTATGTACAAGCTCCGCAAAACAATATTGGCAATACTACCCTGGCGGACAAATTCACGTAGTTGTTTGCCATTATACTTCTAAATCAATCCGCGGTGGTGGTGGTAATTCTTGAAATGGAACGCATCAACCCAATGTATATATCTTGCTACGTATAAAACGCTTGAAACAGTGTCTCTATGTAATACGTCAACCATGGAACTGCTATTTTTTTCCGGGTACATATAACGATGGAACAGTTATATGTACCCGGAAAAAATCTCGCTTGGACGAACCCAAGCCCTAAGCGTGGCATGAACATTTCATTAGGGCCGAATCATTTACCAACAGATTCTTGATTTGGCTGTATCGCCACTGAGCCGGGAGGCTTTCGTTTCTCGGCCGGAGCTGTCGTTCTTTGGCTTCCGGGTTTCCCCGCAAGATTAATAATTCAGCAAAGGCTACGGTCGCGTTCGCGGCAGCGCCTCTATAGACGCCAGCAGCGTTACCGCCGTTACCAGAAGCGCCTTTCAAAGTCCAACTTTCTTGCCTCTGGGCATCAAATAGGTTCAATTAACAGCCAACTTACGAACACCGTAAACTTCTGTTTTTAGCTAATATTACCTGAGAATACTAAGTTACGTAGCGAATTAGTGCCCCTGACCCCTGCTTTACCAATCTAATTACTTGTGTATCACTTACGTGTCCCGACTACTGTAGAATACTAAGAATACATCGGAGACAACCGAATATCATCGAACGGTTCGAAGGCCGTCCATTCGCTTATAACAAAATAACATGACTAATAACAGGAGATTTTTGAGCTTGATTTTTTTGAGTTTTAAAAAAAATTTCGAGCGACACACATGTTTGATTCATGCAGAAAAGGTGACCCTTCCAGCACAGCAGATTCTTTGCTTCGTTTAAAAGATGGTGACTGAAAAAGCCAAAACTCTCGGTTGGGGGTCGCATAGTTAACTGCATCGTTAACATTATACGAATTTTATTTCACTACGTTATTATTATTTGCATTTTTGTTACACAGATCGAAATGGCTAAGATAATTTAGAACAAATTGTTATAAGGATCTTCTGACTCACAAACCATCTCAAATAAAACAGCGTCTGAAATCTTTGGGAATGAACGTGACAACCCAGTACGTTAGTACGGCATTAGTAGAAGCCTAGGTATTGCTGGACCCTTTTTGGCAGCAATAGTGGACCTCCTGGCCTGAGCAGGACAAAGCAAGGGGACTCAGTAGAAGATACGAATGCCCGTGACTTTTCCCATATCAATACTGCTCAAACATGCCACCACTCTATTATAATATATTTCAACTGCTTCAACTGCTGGAAGCGTAAAAAGTAATAAGCTCTGGGGAAGACAATTCGGAATAATTTATGTTCTACTCGGATTTTTCTGCTGGCCGTCTTCTTCATTGTCGTCCATCCTTGTCTTTTCTCGCCTACCCCACACTACTAGTCTAGCGCCCCTTTAAACAGCTCCTTGCACTTTTCTGGTAAGAGCTCTCCAATCTGTATTTTAGCATTTTAAATGTGCAGTCTAGACAATTCTAGTCTGAATTAGGCGTTGGCTGCCTGCTGCTTAGGCCCATACGTCATTCCGCACGTCCCCAGGATAATTGTGTGTCCACGATGCGCCGATTATCCTTTCCCATTTTTCCGCTTTACAACCGGCGGTTCATTGAGTTGCGTGTTCCATGGGGGTTGTGACTCTGAGAAGGACGATGTGGAAAGAAGGGGGCGCAACGTAAACCCACGCAGGGACAAGGACTCAGACGAAAAGAACAGAATGAGGCGAAAGAAAACGGGAGAGAGTCATAAGGAAAGGCTTGTTTTATTACAAGTAATACACTTCCCATTTCGTTGGCTGAAACGTTGGGAACTAAAGGCATCGACGGGTAACGCACGGATAGCCGGTATCCTTATATATTCTCCGTTTTTTGAAGGCCGTGCTGCTTATAGTTGCTCGCTTACTAAACAGCCTGCTGCTCCTCAAACGAATATCGGAATCTGAATAAGTGGGGTTTTCGAGATCCCTCTTCCCTGAGCTGCTTGCTGTTACAGTGGATTCGGCTGTTAACACAACCAACGAATACGATATAAAGGCTGACGCCATAGTCTTCAAAGCGAAGCTCGGAAACGACTCCAAGGGCCCTTTGAGTAACTGGAGAAACTCTACTATATCAGTGAGTAAGGTTGTACGCCGGCATTGACCCAAACGGTGACTACTCCTTTCAACAGTTAAAATAAAGAGAGGATGAGGGAGGGAAAGGGATCGCACAATAAAGCAAATCCTAATACTAATGCGTAATGAAAACGATCAATACAAGTAATTAAGGCACGGGGTTACTTTAGCATTTGTGTTTATTGTGCAAAATATTAGGAACCTTTATAGAGACAAGTAAAATTGGGACCATGTGAGAATACGTGCTTGTTTAGATGAAAGATCACTATTGTGTCCGTTAGACCTTTACTAGTCCTCATTGCGATGCTAATCCGAACTAGAAATTGGTGATATTAAGGAGTAAAAGGAACTCATTGTTTTTAGTTATTGTCGGCTCGGAAGACGTTTATCAATGCACCCTACATTGATCCTCTGATAAATCTTCAAGCAAGCGTAAATCGGCCCACTTTTCAATTGCATCCTATCGCCGAGTTGAGCTAGCTTTAATCGCTATTACGCATAAATTTACAAATAGGTGTTCACAGTTAAAGTTACAAGACAGCGCATGCGCAAAAATGGAATAATAGATTTGCTACGACATCAGGTAAGTTATTATTCCAGTCCAGGTATTAAATATGCCAAATAATAATACTGCCTTACTTGAATTTTAATAGTAAGACATACCTATATAATCAAATCATGAACGTAATTAATTCCTTTTTTTCGCCACCGAATTTGATTAGAGCCATATTAGAGTGATTCAGTTGTCGTTTATATGCACCTGTTGCGGAACAGCGGCCTAATATGTCACATACCTCAGAAATGATGTCCTAGAGCATGAACAGATCTCGTATCGTATATACACCCATGCCATATATTGTATTTTGAAAGATTTTTCTTACATATATTCGCTCGCGGAAAATGATTCCACCCCGAGTAAAGGACAAAAATCTAGCCCATTTTGCATGAAAGCTCGATCATTTCATAAATAATGCATCTATCATCGTATTACTTGCATCGTCTCATCTAATACTCTTGTCATGGAAGTCAAAGTTAACTTGTTGCGTGCTAAACTGAGATGAACCTATCTTCCTAGTCCACATAATTAACCTACTACTCCGTAAGTTCAGTCAACTAGGCAAAGCTTAGTCGTTATTTCCCGCCATTCTTTCTTTGTCCTCTGTCCTCTCTATACGATCACTGCAGTTCTCCAGCTGGCTGGGGTATAGCCTTCAAGCAGCTTCAGGCAGTCATAGAGACACTAATATGTTAGTTTATTCGGAGTCATGGATCAGGAACAGCTCAGTATGTCTGTTGCATATCACCGATTCATTATCCGTTGCCGTTTGCCGCTGTCCTAGAGCACGGTCTTTCCACTGTCTTCTGTCTGTATCTGGTTCTCTTTTGTTGTCCGTCGAAAACGTCGTCGATGCCTATGTGTATCTGCAGACCAATTCTCGTCTCCAGGCTCCGTCTGCGTATCACCAGGTGTCATTCTTGACGCCCTTCGAGTCTGTCTCTGCCCAGATGTGGCACTGCTTCGGTGTAATTACATCTTCCTTGGAAAACGCACGGAGCCCTTCAGATCTGTCTCATACTCATACGCTACACAGAGGGGGGGGGGAGGGGGTATCAGCAAGCAGACAATAAACTGAGCGATTCACAATTCAACCGGCAGGTCTCATTCGGTCGATTCGACGTGCGTGTGCTCTAACGGTTTCAGTCAGCAGCTTCGACGGCTTAGAGAGATGCCAGAGGCGCAAGACAAGAGATGAGCGTGAAAGGGCTATGGGACGGCAAAATTCCAGGGAGCATCCTTTCTTATCCTTTCATTATCCTTTTTTGCTTGCTTCGGTTCCTTTTTGAGATGTTCTGTGCAGGGTGCCTTGGGTATAAAATAGTCACATCGCAATACATAAAAGCAGTCAGCTCGTTTTTTGCGCGTCTATGCAAAACGTTCGCACAAATTATGACGGGTGTATCATTATTGTACGCATTACCACTACAGCTGTTTGCATGTGCAGTTATGAAGAGTTAGAATTGAGCTAGAAATGAAGCACAGTTATTTTGTTTGTCTGTAATAGAAATACCTATTTCAAAATGTAGGTAATCGTCGGAAGCTTATTTTTGCGAATTATCTATAAATGTCCATATGACGAGAGTCATGCACACTCATCTTATGCGGTATGTGAGTTACAACGTGAAGGTATCCATTGAGCCAGCACCAGTGCTACCGTCCAAAATCTTATAACTTCACTGATGGCTGACATGCGCTTCGTTCACAGAACCGACCTCCTTCCGCTGGCAACGGAATCTTGAGGAAAAACCGACGCCGCGAAAAAGGAAGCCTTTTTAAACGCTGATTACTCTGCGCCCACTAAGGACTGCGAATAGCTTACTCTGAGCGTGATGCCGCAGTCGTAGTGGCAGCAGCAGAAGAGTAACGTCTTCTTTTGCTACGAGAAAAAGCTCCTCTGCGCTGATGCTTAACGTAAAAGACGAAGTGCTCCCACATGTTAGCTCGACCGAGTGGAAAGCCAAGCAACCTAAAGTCGTGTGGGGTATGGATGGACCGGAAAACTCCAGCAGAGGACGGCCGGTGGGAGGGAGGAGAGGGCATAAGAATGTAGGGCCAAGAGACACGGAGTTGGGCGAAATTTGGATAAAATAGGAAATAGGCCGTGATGCTAAACACGAAGTTGGCTTTATTGAACTTGTCAGAAAGATTCCCCAATGGGCGTGCTGCCTGCGGTGCCGTCCAAGAGTAACAAACGCGCTTTAAGCAGCCCTAGCCCCAGTAGCAACCGAAGAGGGCCACAAAGTAGCGTGAGCGATGTGAGTGACAGTGAAGCAATAAGCAAGCGAAGTGCCTGCGTTACCAAATGTCACGGCGTACCATTTCAGAGTGCATTTGGCCTGCTGTGGCCTTGCTCCGGCTAGGCCGTAACTTGTTCAAACGCGTTTGTGGGTTACAGAGCGACCACTTCCGGAGCGTTTCTATGCAGACGTACAGCATCCGGGCGCGTTAGCGTACTGTCAACACAGAATTTTTGTGTACGCTTCACCGCGCTGGTTCCTTCGTTCGTTCTTACTTGCTCGCCAGGCTACGGGCCGTCAACCCACATTCTCCGTTTGGTCGCATTAATATCGTTGGACAAACAGCGCAAATAGGAAACTCCCTTCGCGACTCATCCAAAGATCGATTTGTACATGCATAAATGAAAAGGAATCGTAATATGCATTAACACATACGGAAAAAGGAGGCCTTTTCGGATTCGCGTTGATGTAGGCTGTTGGCTTACTAAACGCGAACCGGTAGAATGAAGGTGTAGCAGGACGTATGCTTCATTCAATATCTATGTCCGGTTTGTGTGTGAAACAGATTGTCGTGAGTGTCAAAAGTTCGACGACGAAGTCACCCTGTATCGGTATCTTTTGCAGCTTTAACACTAAACCTACTCTTATGGATCAATGTGACCGTTTGCAAAATCTTTCTTTTATTAATTGTATTATGTATTGAAGCGTTATCGGAAATCTCAATAACTTTTTTTAAATATTGCTTGTTTTGACCGGGAACGGTAAGAATAGGCATAAAAGAAATATCTATAAGTCTACTGATAATATGAAACGTCATTTTGTCCTGCAAATGTAAAGGCTATCTGCAAGTATATTGAAAAATGGTATCCAGGCGTGATCTGTAGTAGTTTGTAGGCCTTGACCAACTGTAAAAGGGGGACGGGTCGCCACATTTGGGTTGACCGATTGAACTTTATTCAAATGCTTCACGCTATATTTTCTCCATTTAGTTAATGCCGACTATTGTCACTGGATATGGTAGTTAACTCGTTTACTTAAAGGTGGTACCGAAAAAAGGAGGAAAAATTATTACCGATCACATCTGCAACAATCGAGCAGTTGCATGGCGTTCTTCAGTTTAACGCACCCGAAGTACTTGACACCGGAAATTACGTCTGCATGGTGTTTAATGAAGTCGGAGAGACCCAAGTGACTATGAAGCTTATTGTTAGAGGTAAGTATTCCAACGTGCTTGTTGCCAAAATATATCTATACGTTCTCAAACAAAAATAACGTTGCGTATGGAAGTATGGAAGCAAAAGCTTAGTAATTCCAAACTCAAACATAATTTTCCCGAAAAACGTGAGCGATGTGAGTGACAGTGAAGCAATAAGCGGGCGAAGTGCCTGCGTTACCAAGTGTCACGGCGTACCATTCAATTATCAATTATCTTACTTGACATCTCCTAATTATAATTTGAATCAGTGACATAAAACGCTAGTTACTAATTAGAAGAAACATTTTGTTGATACCGAACTATTCGAGCGTGCGAGCACAGGATCATGTACGAAGCCCGATATTTTCACCACTTGTTGCTAACGCTATCTCGTCCCAAAGTTCTGTCTGTAGCGGTTGAAAGAAGTGTTTAGATAAATTGGTTTTTGCTGCTCATGGTGACAGGTGCTGTTCATCTTAATCGTCCACTCGTAAGCAGGCCTTAGCATAAACAGTATACTGCCATCGCAGTCGAAGCACAACTACAGCTGGCGGCAATTTGAGAAATATACGCCATACACGTTACTTGAACTAAGTTACTTTAGGGACGAAACTGTTGCATAACTTTTCAATATAAGAAAATATGAAAGAAAACGCATAGATTTTCAGCAATAAAGCTTGTCGACGTATTCTGTACAACGTATTTACGTGGCAAAGCTATTTTTTGTCATACTGAACTGCAGAACACCAATATGTTCGTACGTGTTACATAGAGTTCCATTAAAAACTAAGTGATTTTCTCTGGTTAATTCGTGCAGTAAACATTGGAATAATATTAAACGAAAGAATTGTATTTTTAGGTTAGGATTAGTACACGAAGGCGGCATCACCTGAGTAAAACTTCTCCTCATTTTTATGGGAATGGAACTATTGATAACGGATTATCGTAGGACACTTGGAATCAAATAGACATCAGTAGTCTAACGTATGACCTATACAGGCGGAAATACAAAGAGTGCGTGCCCGCAATTTTAGAGGGCACGCGCCTGCGGGCAGAAATGAACGTCAGACACGCAGTTCTTTCTGAAGTCCATTGCGAACTGCATGGACTCCGGAAAGCATTGTGTTGCCCTTTGCGTGTACACGGATCGGACGCGGCTCAAAGCCCCATGTAGCGTAATATTTCACTTATCTTTACAGGGTCTTTGTGCATATGTTGAGATGCGTCTACATAAGAGTTTAAAGTTCTCCCGACGGCTCTTTTTGATACTTCCGACCTATCTTTGGGATAGCGTATTCCAATGTCGTTGCGGACCTATGCTTTCCTCTGACTTGAAGATCTGAACACTTTACGAAGTGATATTTTACATTTTTTGAAAGTTGCGGCTCTTAAAATATCAACATAGTCGGCCTATTTAATCGATAATGCGAAAGGCTAACATCTGCGCGACTAAGATATTTAAACGACTTACCTTTTTCTAACCGAGGTCTGCTCTGAAGCTTGGAAAAGAAATTAAGTCAGCCATATAGCTTCATGAACGCGTCCGTGCAGATGGAACCGAATAGATGTATAACGGCGACCTACTTAGCGAGTAGGTAGACGAAGTACTGATTGAGGACCTTTTGCAATTGTTTCAAAAGAGCAATTTGTTGAGTTAATTTAGAGTGAAAGCGACATCTGTCCTTTTCAACACAATGAGGTCATGATTATACGGTGGCTTCAGTTCATGAATAGCATAACTTAAGAAAAAAACACTGTTGGAAGAGAATTAATGTCTCAATTTCCTCACAACATTTTAGTAATAATGACATTAAGAAATATAGCACTACTATTTACCACAAGGTACCCGCCTCTGAGGGGTGTGCTTATGTTACTAGATAGGAACTGGTTATAATGCAAAGCAGTGCTTTTTGCCTACGGCGAGATCCTTGCATCTATATAAACTTAAGAGCTAAAGACAGAAATAGAATAAACAAAATTATTCACATAGCTAACACTGCCGTTTTCGCTTTTGTGGTCGTCATCCACCAGGCAACCAGCTGCTTACGATTTCCCCGAGCTTCCTGCGCATCGAGAGCGGACACACCGCCTCGTTCTACTGCAACGTTACGGCCATGTTTAATCCAATGGACACGGACGACTTTGGAGTTGAGTGGAGGTTTAATGGACGAAGAATTACTTCGTCAGGGCGTATTAAAGAGGCAACCCGCTACTCACTGCAGATTAATGGAGTCACCCGCCTCGACCAAGGCATGTACCAGTGCCTCGTCAACGAGAAAAGTGGCTGGCTTCAGGCCACTGCTGAGCTTCATATTGGGGGTAAGCTATCTTTCTTAACATCATACAAGTATCTAATTAGTATACAATGTTTTCCGTAGTGCCAAAATTTTCACACCTTTGTTCCTTTTGTAATTTTTTCTAGAGCAAGCGCCCTCGTTGACGTCCGTGTTCCGCGAGCAAACGATTCGGCCGGGGAATTTTATCTCCCTTAAATGCGTGACGTCTGGAGACCCGTTACCAACAATCAGCTGGAGATTGGACGGTTTTTGGAAGCTTGAAAATGGACCTAGGATGCGCATTCGAAGTTTTGAGACCCAGATACCAGGGGAGCTGGTTAGCTTTTTGAACGTCTCACTTGTAGAGGTAAGTGAGAAGGTATGGTGGCAGGCTAGAATTAGTTTTCTGAGCATGAAGCTCGGTTGTTGTACGCTTGACCTGTAAAGTCGTAACGCTTCATTCCAAAAAACGACTAAATGGATAATAAAAGAAGAGTGACTTCAATAGAATTTTATTCTAATGACTGTACTATGATCTATGTTTCCTATTAGGTACGGGACTCCGGAGCTTACGAATGCATTGCCAGCAACTACGTAGGAAGTACAAGCCACAGCGCACGACTCAATGTCTACGGCTCGTTATTCACGCGCCAAACCCTGACCAACATGACCGCTCTAGTCGGAAGCACGTTCGAGCTTCAGTGTCCTTTTGGGGGCTACCCCTTCGATTCTGTCAGCTGGTCATTAGGTGAGCTTACGATTGACGTTCCCTGAGGACTTGTCTAGCTGCAATTAAATCTATTAACAGTACTAAGCTTTTCCTCTGACGATGTCCATCGTCGACCGAAAAACATGCGAAGCTAAATGAATGAAAAGTTGTCTAATGAAATGGTAGACAACTTTTCCATAGGTTGCTCGAAAACATATATTCAATGCTTGAATGTGTTTTGCAGAAGGTAATCGCTTGCCGGTTAGCCAGCGGCAGGTAGTACACATTCAGAATGGGACTCTCCATATTCATGGGGTGGATAGGAACGCCGACCAGGGAAGGTATCAGTGCACCGTACAAAGTGGCGACAAAAACCATCAGGTCCGCCATATTATCACGGTCACGGTAAAATGTAAGTTGTATATATGAGCTATGAATAGGTATTCATTGGAAGAATCTATCACGACGAAATAAAGCAATGCTTTGTATCGTAACTCGAAACTATGATACAAGAACACTTCGTAAACGCGTAAATGATATGGAAGAATAGAGGTACACGGGTTACGCGATAAAGAAAACAGTTTATGGCTTCACACGTTGCCTGGATATGGATGAGCATGGCCGGTAATAGTCATGTGTAGCTAAACAACCTCTCCAGCAGAAAAAAGGTTTTCGTACGGGCACGAGACAATTGTGAGCACGTGAAAAAAATGCCCTCTATGAATGGACATTTCGCGTAGCAAAGTAATGAAATTTACAAGTTGGCTGGTTTTTCTTTTGCCCGTTTTATCTAGCGACGTACAGAACGTTGACTTCATTCCCTTCTCTTTTTGTAACGACGACACAGTTTCGACTACTTACTTCGTTTCAGTCGGGGCTGTTGGCCCTTCCCTTCGCTGGTTTCTTTCATTTTCTCATAAGTGTATTCTGTCCCTACGTTCCTGGTTTCTCGGCGCCGTGGTTCCTTGATATGCTGCAGAAGACGTTCGCTGTGTCTCGTTGTCCACGAACCAGGGCCCCGTTACATTCACTACTCTTGGTCGGCTTTTTCACCCTCTGCTCAGCGTCGTTGTAACCACTCGTTCATTGCCGTCACTATCGCCGTAGACAGCAGTTGCATCCGTGTTAGTTGTCCTTTTGTTCGGCGATGTCGTTCACCAGCTGCTTCTGCTGAGACCACCGTTACTACTACCACCGCTTCTACTGCTGCTGCTGCGACTGGTAAAATGAACTAACGCTTTTACGAGTTTTAGTTAAAATGCCTCTTGTCCTGTCTTCGGTCGTTTTATTACAGCTGCAGCTTTTTCTGCTGCTGCTGCTGCTGCCGTTGCAGTTAGTCTTGACTGCTTTTTCTGGCGGTGTATCCTACTCGACAGCGCATTGCAGCTAACTTTCTCTCTTTTGCTTTTTTTTTCGTGTTCTCGTCTGCACTTGATGCTTGGCTTACGGCTTTTACTTTGGGTTAGCCATGACAGACCGCACTGTTCTCATTGTATTTCCATGTCCTGTTTGCGTTCTCTGTCTCCTCGTTGTTCTTGTGCTGGTGCCCCGTATTCGGCTGTTCCTCTAGCCTCACTTTTGACCCTTTTTCCGTGGCCTTGCCGCTTACGGCCTGTGTACTCGGTTTGTCAGATCTAAGAGTTTAATTCTAACACTGCTATGTAGCGATAGTTCAGGCGACTCTAGGTCGTGGATGGGCGCTTGGATACTTGCGCGAGTGGTCTTTCTCACCGCTGTCGCCCGTGTCGCCACCGTCAACAATACTTCAATAGTCAGAAACGCTCTTGGATGAGATCGTCAAGGCTGAACTAGGACCTAGATGGCAGAAGGTGTATGCAAAGGAGAAGGAGAAAAAAAGGCTGTGATGGGAAAGACGAAAACGATAGCAGACGATGAGAGTATGAGTCACTCGACAGACGGCTTCTTGTTTTTGCCCCACAGCTTCGCACGACTTTCTCTTCTACTCTGACCCCGTTTATTTCTACACTTCTCATGATACGCAAACAGTCTCCCAGAGTACTACTAAATGCCAAAGGCCCCCCAAGAACTTCCAACGCCAGAAGTAGCCGGCGTGACATCATTTTCAAGGCGTTGGCCAAGCGAAGGGCTGTCGATTGACAGGCAGGCATTCCTTTTCAGACGGTAATGAACAGTTCGTCGTATTTGTATATCCGAGGGGTGTTTAACTGCCGCCTCTTTCATACCTTTCTAAATCCATAAGCGTTACGATCTTCCCGTCATTCACTAAACGGCAACTTTGAAGTCTTGACCTGAGTAAGTTTTCGGTAAAACATCAGCGCGCGCGTTGTGGCAGCAATGGTTATCACGGCATCCTAGTTACTCCTTGTTACCTGTGGGCGCTTTTTTGCCAATTAGCCAGTTGGCATAGCATACTAGACAAAAACTTGCTTTGAAAAGTCACTGCCGCTGTATTGACTTGGCTTACTGCCGAATGCTTTTGGATTACAATCCGTCCACCTCTACCCTTCGGCCCACAGCTTTTCGTTGACTTTTTATAGCTTTAACGATGCTGCTTTTCTGCCCGGCCAAGTGGTTTTTTTTTTGAGGAGTATTTTACTGAAGCGACAAACAGGCCTTGCTTGTCCCGTCTCCTAGATCAGGCAGAAGCTCTGGATTCGTTTAGTAAGAGAACCAACCATTCACATCCCCACGGACTCGTTCGCATCCTATTTAAAGAGAATGAACGATCCAGCCAACGAGCGAGCGACCGACCGACCGGCCGGCCAGCCGACTAGTCGGCGGGCACAACCGGAAAGTAAATGTCAAATGTTGAAAATTTAATTTAAGTCCGCCATTTTGGCCTCCAAGGCAGGATACTGCGGCGTGGTACTCTGTGTAGTCAGAGCGATGGTGGCAGCAACGATATCCCCAAATTGCAAATAATATCTAAACGTAAATGGAGTCAAGAAGCGAAATGGGCTATACGCCAAGAATGGCTACCGCCACGCTGAGCATCGAACAGCTGTATTTAGTCATAACGCCGTTCCTTAGTGCCGTTCAAGCTACTGACGACGCCGACTAGAAGTGAGGTTTTATCAGGTCGGAACAACTAGCAAAAAGAGAGACATAAGCTGAAAACGAAAGAAGATGGTCTGAAGGGAGCCCGATCTACCGGTTGGACAATAGTAGGGGCGTCAGGAAGCTTAAAGGTCATTCATTTAGTTAAACTTTCGTCGTTTTCCTCTCTGTCCGTGTGTTATATATATCCCCCCAGGGATTCAAAGACGTTCTTCAGAAACGCCACTGTACCACACAATTAAGCTAGTTTGATCGAGTCCAGTGAACGGGAAAAGGCTGCCCGCTATGAGATACAAGCTTTTCCTTCTTCTATTTATATGCACATCAAGTTTTATGTTTCTAATGAACTACCTTTGGAGCTACTCCTTTAGCTTATCGTGCCAATACCGTACTCTTTCCACTCTCAAAGCCACACTTAGAGTCCTAGCGTCGTAGCTAAGATGCATCAGCGTATGCATGTAGGACACAGAATGTAGCCCACCGGAGCGTGGGTCCCAACTAGAACTACAACTTGTCAACGTACGAATCCATCTGCGCGTTGGACGGGTACGAAAGTCTGAGTCAGATCGGATCACTGGGCAGTTACTCCGGGAATGAAGATTCAGCTGTAATTGAGTAACAGGTTAATTGAACATACCAAAATAACGCTGTTTTAGGGTATAATTCAGATTATCAGAACCCGAATATAAAATTATTGAAACATATGTAATATTAAATCATTGAAAAGCCTTGAGCAGTTGTTTGGTATGGTCGAAGATAGTTCAGCCATATATATATATATACATGGCTGAACTATCTTATATGGCAGCCATATATATATATATATATATATATATGAACAACCCATATATAAGTCTACCTCTGTTTGCTTCTTAAATTCAGCCGGTCCCCAGATTACGCCGTTCAATTTCCTGCCCAACCTCCAGGAAGGTATGCGGGCGGGCATTTCATGTTTGGTGCATTCTGGCGATCCCCCCGTTGACATCACGTGGTACAAGGACGGACAGTTGATCCCGCAGCACGACACGCCGGAGATGGCCTTCTTGGGATCCGATGACGGCTTCCTGTCAACACTCACTCTTAAGAAACTCACTTCAAAACACAATGGCAACTACACATGCCGAGCCACGAATGACTATGCTTACGCGGAGCACAGTACGCAGTTAGTCGTCAAGGTGGTGCCCAAATGGCGCGTTGAACCCAGAGACACGATCGCTATCACTGGAAGAAGCGTCTCAATCGATTGTCAGGCGACAGGCGTACCTCAGCCGCACATCCGCTGGAAAAGCGCTTCAGGTAGGCGAAGAAGAACGAGACAGGCGATTCTCTTTTAGAACATTTTGCAATTGATGCGTAACGCGCACTTGTGTTCTCAATAAGCTAATAACAAAAGGATACTTCGATATGCGTGGTCAGAAAATATCAGTCTCAGCTTAAAGTGTAAAAGTAAATTGTAGTATAAAACTGATAGGAAAACACTATGGATAAGGTACGATACGAGGCTTAAGTATGATATTTTATATCGCGAATGATCTCTATGTAATTTAGTAACATTGTCAGCTGGATGACTTCACTTAAGAGGCGAAGTAATGAAGAGTTGTATAAAAATTAATTTTGTAAGCAAGCCAAGTAAGCTACTTAGAGGAATCACTATGTTCATTGCAATGTTACTACTGGCTGTTAACCGACGCAGATATCTATATAGGTTATATGACGAGTTCAAACCAACCAGTTGGGAAACTGTTCTTTATTATTGCTGCCCAAATTATCTGCCCAACTTCTAGTACCCTCAATGCTATCCAGCACCTCGAGTGCAAGTAGCACCCGGACGAACTACTCTATAATCTATTTGCAATGATCCCATTTAAGAAATGGCAAATCTTTTCGAAGTCTTGTCTTTCTCTCGATGTTTTTTTCTATTCTTCTCTCCTCCGTTCTCCAAAAACGCCTGAAGGCAGAACTTTCGTCTGTGTCGTCCATTCCTATATGTTAGACACTTCAGACACGTGCACACAATAGGCACCAAACAAGACTTGCTCAAACAAGAGTTCCTGTCTTTGACGAGTTCCTGCCGCCACCGCCTGCCGGTAACTGTCTAACAGACTCCATCTAACCCAGCGTTATATAGTAAACAGTCCGCGTGTAACATTCGTGTATGTGCGTGTGACGGAAAGCTGGCGGAAAATGCGGGTGTACGAACGTGGTAAAACTGAACGAGTGTCTTTAAAATGCGCACTTTCTATAACTTAGGAGAGATTTTTCACTCTGAAATAATCCAGATCTGACGTTAGAGCTGGGAGTGCGTTGGCTTCAGTGTTACTGGCCCTCGCCGACCCAGCCGTATATTATTATTCCAAGCGTCGGGAACACACAGAGATTATTTGGAGGCCTAGTGTTTGTTCCTAGAAGCTTGGCCCTCCGGAGGCATAGTCCTACATGGAAATGGTGGCAGTAGCTTTACTGTGTAGTTGGTGTAAAGGTAGGCAACCGATCTGGGAGGACACCGACAGCGAGCACTAGCCAGGAACATAGCCATGCTGGAGACGCAGCAGCCAGCAGCGATAGCGAGGATGTGCGGCTCATGGAGGGTGGACGGTGTATCATGTTGTGGCTGGCTAGACCATCGTATTCGAGTAGACATCTGTCCAGAAAATAAATCCAATTACATTCATTCGAAACAACAGCCTTTCAGGTAGCAAAGAGAAGACGATACGCCAAAGAACAATTTAGAAAAATCGCGTCGCCTCGCTCTCCACAAGCCTTCCAAAATTAATTCAGTAGTGATAAAAACATATCAGAGGACTGATATTACTGAAGCTGCCAGTGTTGTTGGCAACAATGTATGCTACACTGTGGCTGAAATGATGTTTTCGTTACTATATCTCAATGATCATTATGAGTTGATAGCTTAGCACATAACGCCAGTTTCTACTTATGTCGAAGCTCGAATAGTCTCGGCGCTGGGCGGCATCACACGCCCATGTATTAGAACCCATGATAGTTACTTGAATTGCAATTCTGCCTAAACTGTGTGTCAGATTCAGCTTGTTTATGACGTTGATCAATAGGTTTGTACGTACTGAAACCTTTATGCATCTCTTATATATAAAAGCACTAATAAACATACGACTGCTTTAGGCTTACTTACTTTTCCGCTAGACGGAGATCGAACATAGGCAAACATGGAGGCTTCGAGAATTATCAACTAACGTTTATCTATTCAACTTTGACATTTCAGAACCTAAATCAGATACTTCGACGGCCCAGTACAGAACAATTATCAGTAACTCCCACATCCACATTCTCATGAATGGAACGCTAACCATCCGCTCGGTAGAAGCCCGCGATGCGGGGCTTTATCTCTGTGAAGCGAACAACGGAGTCGGCTCGGGTGTTAGCAGAGTGATTAAGCTCTCCGTGAAAAGTAAGTAGCCATGATTTATTTATGGCTGCACTCGAAATATAGAGGGCGCAACGTATATTGCATACGCGTCATACTTTAAAAATGTACGGCCATTTACAGACGTTGGTCAGACACTAAACGTTTGCCTTTCGTCAACATCTAAAATAACCACTTCATCTATGTAAGCCTGAGGGGGATTGGATGACATGTCTTTTCACCTAACTACATATGTCCTGTGATTAGAATACTACATAGGATCTCTTATTTTACTATTAGCGAGTAATCTGTGATGTTCTATTACAAATATTACTATATCTACTCTAGTACGGTGATGTTGTTATATAATTTGTCCTATTACAGGCGCTCCTCAGTTTGATTCGAAACAAAGCCGCATCTCTGCGAAGCGCGGCTCATCGGCTGTTCTTGAATGTAAGGTTAAAGGCGATTCGCCGATAACGTTCCACTGGTTTAAGGATGGCCAGCCCGTCGATCTCGGAAGGCATGCTCGATATGCACAGACGATGACAGATCGTCTCGGTAACTTTTCTCTATCCCAAGTAACTGTTTCATCTGTTGAACGTTCAGACAACGCTGTGTTTACGTGCCAGGCTAGCAATGATTACGGCACAGATAGCACTAGCGTTCGCCTAATCGTACAAGGTAAATTGGACTGATTTTGAGATTACAGAATTCGAACAATTAAAGGTGATTAACTAAAAATAATAGTTAAGGCGCCATTGATTAAGTTCAGTATATTCAAGTGATTATATTGATTTTTGTATTACTGGGCAACACCGAGTAGAATGAGCCATGCGTATATAAATAATATATGTTTTCCATGAGACCCCTCAGCTGTCTAGGTTGTTTCCTTAACTTCATGGAGCTTTTCAAAAAACAATAATAGTGCCGCATGAAATGCATGAGGAAACGTATCATGTAGTGTCCTATCTAACCAGTCGATGCAACTTATCTAGTACTAGTTTTTCAAAAAAAAAAAAAGGCATTTCTGCATCTTTATTCTGGCAGACGACTACGATATAATCTGTGGATAAATGGTATAGTCACTGTAGATAAACCGTATTATTAAGAATACAGTTTTAGAACGGTCTGCAGGAATTCGATAGGCCCGGTCGCTAACTGCTGCCCTTGACTAAAAAACCCGCTATAATCTTGGGGTGTGCGCTTATTAGTCTTACCGTATCGAGAAACTCGCGCTGAGTCCTTCCTTGACATTTTGACAAATTTAATCTCGGTCACTCCAGCGGGACCCTTATATAAATCCATTTTTTAACTCTTATCATATACACTGCTAATGGGTGACTAACGTCAATGCACGAAGGGTAAACTTGCATATGTTGCATATAATTAAGTTTGTTAAGATAGTATATAGAAAGACATGATGAAAAGCTGGCTTTATTCCCTATAGGTTTCGAACTAATAGTTATGAACTTGATTCAGTGGATAACAAAAACACTCACTCTAGTTAAGTCCAAGATGTATACCAATACATGATAACTGAACGTAAGTGGGTAACTTGCTATTTTTAATATATTGCTTATATTAACGGTGTTCGTGACGAATTTCGTGTGATATGGCGCTTTCGTCAAATATTAGCAAACCTTCTAACCTTAATTAAGTTTATTTTTTAGCTTAACTGTGTAATAATGTAATGTTTTGCGGCATTTTTGCGATATTTTAGAATGACTGTAAGACGCATGTACCTACTAGATAATAATATCGGATTATCTGTCTCATGTTCAGCGGGAAGGGTGGACTCTAAAACATAACGAATAGATATTATACACTACGCCTTGAAATACATAGTCTACTTATAATGATATTGCCACCTGCAAGTGGACTACACGACTGAACCGAAGAAAGGGCAGCTATAGAGCAAGCAGTACTAACATAAATCTGTCGTCGTCAATGGGCCGTTGTTATCTGGGCTCGTATGTCCTCCCGCCTCTTGCTCTCTAGAAGTCTCGATCTTACTAAGGGTTCATCTAATTTCTGGAACTACGTAGTGACTTTGTCTTTGGACTGGAGCTTCTGCGAATAGGGGCACACCTGGATCTAGCTAAACCCGGGTCACACATTCCCGACGCAGCCCACTGCACCCTCTGGCAAGTAAAGGCTTATCAGAACCGGTACATGTTCCGTACTGGCACATATCGGCAGGCTAGTGCGGTAGAATCTGGACTTTGCCGCTCATACTGGCACTACCAAGCGTAATGGGAAATCGGCCTGGCACGTAATTCCAATCGCGTATCGGAAAACAGTTACAATTACCTAAATCAGCCAAACCACGACTTCGGGCGCTTATGCCTTATATTCGTGCATTGGAATCTCCGGAGCGAACTCAACCTCTGCTCCGCGATCGCGTTCTCAGACCACTCTCTGCTGCTATTTCCACTATATTGGCGGCAGCTGGAAGCAACATCGTAGCGCACGTTGTGTCATTTCCAAAACACTTTGAACGAGAGGTCGGTCCGTCGAAAGGTGGTAAAATCAACAATTTTCCAAATAGTGCACCTCCGAAAGGTGCCACATGAGCGGTGAAGGCTGGCTCAGCATGGGAGATCGCTTATTTGGAATGTTGTCAAGTTACGGCTCCGAAGAAAGAAACAAAGGGAGTAAAGGCTGAACAAGAAACCAAAACTTCGAAACCTGAAACTAACGGTGAAAAGTTCCCCTTCGCCACAACAGCTGTTTATAGAACTATTAACTTATCCAATAGTTTGTTCACTCACACGAGTACCTTCTGTACTCTGCCTTAAGAACAATCCATATATTTGTTTTAGATCAATTTCAATAGTGCTCGTCTGCATGAAATTGTGCTTGATCTCGAGCAATACACGAAAACGCAGTAATAAGGTTTTGGTTACTAGGCTAGCTAAGTGATAATGGGAAGCAGGTTTCACTGAGGTACGTCACTAACACAGGTGTCATTTTCGGAACCCTCTTACATTGTTTGTCACTGCTATTTAACAAAACACATATGTCATTATCAAGTTCGTATCCGCTTTCTCTCTCTCTCTCTCTCTCTCTCTCTCGCTTAATAATAATAATGGTGCTAGTATGCTTTTTCGTTGTCTAGATGACGGCGGCGCCAGCTGGCTCTACACTAAAGGAAATGACTGGTCCGTGTATCGAATCCGGATCGTCAACTAATGGGCCTCACGCGGCCTCAATTTCACTAATATATCTCTACTTTCGCTGATTTTTCCTGTGGAGTTTAGTAAGCTACTCTGTTGCTGGGCTCTCGGTCGTGAGCGGGGGTCGGTGGGGCATGCAATGACAGATGCATTGGTTTCAGTCATAAGCAAGTTGATCTTTCGTAACAGGAGCGGCCATACTGAATGGAGATTTCTTAGTGTATTGTTGTTACGCGTACTCAGCACAAATACAAATCGTGCAGGGATGTGCCATTTTCAAAAAAACTAAATGATAAAGATCATGCAAACAGCTGAAGAGCCAGAAATGTGGCTTGTTTTTTGACTGGATAAATGTTGTCTGGCTCACTTATGGTAATTGTATTGTCAAAACGCATAATCGTTTGAAATATATTTTTTGGGCTTTGCTTGCCCCAAAATCCAATCAGCTTAATAATATTTGATTATATTCTGGCATTTTCAGATGCACCGGATGCACCGACGTCATTAGAAGTAAAGGAATTAGGTTCTCGACAGATTCAACTGTTGTGGAAACTACCCTTTAGCGGAAACGCCGCCATTTCTCAATGTACAGTACAGTGGCGTTCCGATAACGGATTGTGGCATGATTCGGCCACGGTAGGCGGCGATGAACGGCAAGCCACAATCCGAGGTCTTAAACCTACAACAAAATACTGGTTTAAGGTACGCTGCCAGAACATGTTTGGCGTCAGCGAATTTAGCAATGAGTACGAGATTGTTACTTCGGAGGAACGTAAGTTGAGCTCTTCCAAAAAACTAATAGGGTTAAGCCCATTAATAGGTAGATAGGAATCGAAGCAAGGATGTATTTCACAAGTTTATGCTCTATTGCCGATCTTCCTATGTAGTTACGATTCGCTCAAGATCAGCAGAGGCCTTGTGAGAGCTCTTAAAGCCATGGAAAATTTACTTCTTTATTTTGTTGGAAGTTACTTAGAGACTCTTATAGTAAGTTCCATCATAGACAACAAAACTAGAGGACTGAAGCAGCCAAGCGAAAAAATAATACAAATAATTCTACTAAGGTATTTCAATACCTAACTTATGTTTTCAGCTCCACGAATGCCGCCGCAGACCGTAAAGTTACAAGCGCTCAACACACATGCAATTTCCATCTCGTTTGATGTATGTACACTAATTTAAATCTATAATGTAGCAAGGAGTACTATTGCTTTATACAGCTCGCCCCCTAATTAAAACTGCCGCTGAAAATTCTGTCCCAAACAACCCTACATAATGCTTCCGAAAGATTGTGTACATAGAAAGAATAAGATGTTAGACTTAAAGGAGCGAAGCTACGGTGTCTTTGTTCCGTGATATAATGAAAAAATTACGATAGAGCTGGAATACTAAAGGATTTTTTACCTTACTAGGGTTAGCCGGACAATGATTTGTTCAATACCCACCTATGGGACTCATAAGGAGTATATGATCACCTAGGAACAGAGCTTTCAAACTATCGTACTTAGGTATCACATTAATTACAAGTCACGTAGTGTTCTCTTTATCACATGATTTGTTCAGTCTCGTGCAATGCGGCCGTTTCGTATCCTAATAGCTATAAAAAAATTGTGCTGCATGCGGTTAGTAATAGCATTATGTGATAGAACGTTTTAAAAACAATGTGTCCTTAACATTTTTCGTTTTTAAAAACTGGTAATCGGTGTCCTTTAGTGCAGCAAAAGCGTAATAGTTGTCTTGTCTTCCACAAAAGTACAATGGGTTCCTCCATTCTATAGAACCTCACTTACATTAGAATTCCTAGTAAATAAACCGTAATGTAGATGTATTTCATGTCATAGCAGAAACCCCCTTACATGTATATACGATTTCTCAGCGGTAAGTAACACAGAAGAAAAGATATGCCACGCGCAGAGGCATACCTACCAACTCCCAGCCAAAAGAACGGAGCGCTTGAGATGAGCGTGACAAAAGAAGCAAAACACGTGCAATTGTTAGATGCCAACAAACGAACAAGGGGTGTGAATCGCAAGAGATACGGGGGGGGGGGGGAGAAGCGATGCTTTTGTCAATGGTGACTCTTTGGTTGTGGTGTTTTTTGTAGTGGCCTACAAGGATCGGTCGAGTGGCTCTTGTCGTCATGTGCTTGGCTAAACAGGGCAGTCCAAGCTGAAGGTGATCACACAATTTCTCCTTCAGGCTCGTTCTTCCTTTTATGGACAAGGTGAACTACTCATTCCTTTAGTACCTAAACCGTACAGTCTTCACTTGTGGGAAACGTGCGAGACTTCACCCGCACACTTCATCTTGTGTACTAAAGTTGCCTTTGCAAGGGTTCATTCGTAGTGCACGTTTCGTATTCTTTTTTTTGCAAGGAGAGCCGAAAGCGAGCAGGTCGTAGAAATTTGTTGCGTTACTTGTTGCTCGAGCCGCATGTACCGATCGACCCGTATTTGTCTTCAACCCGACCAGCGGTGGAAGGCAGTATCGAGGCGGTCAGACGATTATTTACAAGAGCGGGCGCTAGCTGAAGTTGCACGGATTCTCGTTCCCTTCAGCCTTAGCTACGATATCAGAGAAAGCTTATAAACCAAACAGGCATGTATTAGGAGAAGGGAAGAGAAATTGCCTGCCGGTGCTTTGTTCGTTTGATGGGACCGCGGTCATATGGATATAAAGCAGCCCGTGTAGAACCAGCTAGAATTGGCGAAGTTCACAAGTATCCAGACGCGCAATGACTACTTCAATTTTTGCTTGCCAGAACAAAACCGTACCGAACGCAACTTAAACATATATACGTGCACATACACATTGCACAATTAATTCGTTTTCTCTTAATCTTATTTACAACCCATTGGCGGTGACAACAGTGCATAGGGATTTTGCTCAGAGCACATATAATATCCCTTCCCGAGTCGTAATGACTGGACAATATTATCTTTGGCAGACCCTTACGTCTTTCGCCAATTCCAGTGGCGCTTCATGGCGACGAGCGCTATCGGGCATTATGTGCGAATGCGTGTTTCTACAAATTGTTTCGTTGCCTTCGAGTCGATAGCTCCGTGTTTACGCTACTGACCGTAGTGCGTGAAACAGTTCTGGGAGAGTGAGTGAATGTTGCGGGGCGTAACATAATCCAGAATAGAAACGAGGTCGTTGGGTCCTGGGCTGTCGCTTGCTCGACCGGCATGATGGCCTGCCGTAACGGTTGTTATAAGTAGGCAGCAGAACAAAGCTTCTTCTGTCGAGCCTTCCACAAGTCTCGGCGGCAGATAGCCTGGGATTCCATCGACGGCTCCGCTCGCCGACAACCCAAAACGCTTCCATAACTCTTGGTCTGAAAACGCTAAGAGAGATGCCGAGCGACTAGGCAGTGGTCATCAGGTTAAGGGGCTGTGCATTGGGGCTGGTGGGGCTCTGGAAAGCAACGTGATCTTGCCCAGCCTTAAATCATGATTCCTGTTGTCTGGGTATGTCGCAGTGCTAATTTCGTCTCTTGTAGCCGTATACTGTAGAGAACAGAAGGCGGTGAAAGACAAGCGAACAGCGTGTTGTAAACAATACCCCATGAGTTAATTCCGCGCTTAATATTTACGTTTTCATCATTACTCTTCTTAGTACGTACGTGGATATACGAGGGATATCGTAATATAGTGATATGGTTCGACTTGAGTCATAACGAAGTTGCTATGACAATTTTTGCAGACGCCGCATGGTACAGAAGATGAAGGCAAAGTAGAGGGGTATTACATCGGTTATCGAATAGCCGCACTCGATCAGAACACCAACCCACAGTATAATTTCAAGACGTTCAGCTTATTACCTGAATACTTGAAGCCGCGAGTTACATTTGAACTGGACGGACTGCGGAAGAACACCGAGTACACTATTCACGTACAGCCATTCAACGCTAAAGGAGCTGGGCCATCGAGCGCCAACTTTAAAGTCAAAACTCTGGAGTTTGGTAAGCTAAAATAGCCCTGACCGAAATACGAATACATTCGCATAAACGATGCCGTCATGTTTAACGTCGTTTCGTTACGAACTAATATACGGGATGTTTTTTTTTACAAGCCTGTATTTATGCTGTGTTTAATGTTTCACGATTAACATCAACAGTAGTGCAAAGCTCGTCCTGAGCTTTTGTGACGAAAGCAAACATGTCGACCTGCTAAATTCGAATTAAGCCAGTTAAATAACAATACACACAATATCTTTGCAAACAATTTCCTAATAATTGAAAGGCAGATATCTGCCCTGCACGACGTCCATATGTTATCCACTTTAGATGATGAAATATGAATCAGTCAACAAATTCAAATGAACTCTCAAAATTAAATATATGTTTTTGAGGATAAAAATAACTACAAACGCGGAATATTCGCTGTGTTTTGTGGTTCTACTCTATATAGAACAACTGGACATATGTAAACACAATTTGTGCTAAGTTAAGAATCAAAGCAACATGATCTAAATCTTTGGTGATTTGATCACATCAAAGAAAGCCCTCCCATGGCTGTTTGCAAAGATTCTTCCAGCGAAAATACTTTACAGCACGACGGTACATGGGGAAGACTGATAGCAAAGCAGACCATCGACAAAATGGACGCTGGCCGTTTTCGTCATTAAGAAATTATCGGTGGGCAATCTTCTGTACAGGTTTCAGCTGCATTTTAAGAGGCCTCATTAACATATTGGTTTGAATCCTGCCCCCTTTTTTAAAAATCATAATCTTCCATTGTTTTTCGTTGTTTTGTTAGAACGGCGCTAGGTACGAGCGATACCAATTAAATAGTACTCACGTTTAAGAACCGTAGTATTTAAGGTAGCAATTAACCTGCACAGATTTCGTAAAAATACTTAACTAGCCATAAATCAAAGAAATATTCTAAAGTCTTAAGCGGCTACCTTAAAGGGATAGGTAGGAAACGTACATTTCAAGGACCTTCAAGCAAAACGGGACATAGGTGAATAAAACTCATAATATAATCTCTCATGTTATAATATAATATACACCCATAATATATATACAGTACAATGTTACTGAGTTCCTCAGAAAGAAATATTTCTCCGCCAAGTAGCTAGCTTAAGCGTTTTATTCCGTGTCTGCTCCTAACCAGCTCTCTGAACCTACTCTAGCTGAACTAACTCTTCTATACTTTGAAACAAATCGATTTCTTAATAATAGGTAGCAGACACGTTGGACGCTATACACATTTTACGATAATGTAACTCAAGTCGACTTCTTTGCACTAATGATCCAATGTCGGCAAAAAGCGTGCTTCGTAGCCAGCCCCTCACCATAGACAATATAATAAATATATGTTTTGTATAATTTGAGTTTAATTCGGATGAAGGCTATCTTGTAAATTATTTTTCTCTTCTGCTTTGCAGATCCACCAAATCCGCCAAAGGTGACAGTGACCTCGACAACATCAAAATCGATTACCATCTCTTGGGAAGACGCCGAACGATCCAATCAACCTGAAGCTGGGCCTATTCGAGGTGTGACGAGCTAGGACACCTATGCTTTATATTTATTCTGTAGGCTCGTACATAAAATGAAAGATTTCTTACATAAACTAAAAGGCATCGGCTATGTTTTCCAATGCTACGAGCAGACGGCAGACTGTAATAGGATGTTCGGTTGCTATCGAAGGCGATGCCTCTTATTTTTGAAATCAATAGAAATAAATTCTTCATCATGGCGCCCTCTCGCTAGACGTATGTCCTACTGTGCCGGTATTGCCGTTTTGTTCGTCTGTTCAACGACTCTATAGACATCTTTTTTAACGCCCGTACTACAAAGCTGTTGCTTATTTAACAGGCTATTATATCTACTACCGAGCTGACAATGAGGAATGGCACGAAGTGGCGATCACGGGCGAACGAAGAAGTTTCACGTTAACGGAGCTGCGTTGTGGCACCCAGTATCATATATATATGAGAGCCAGCAACTCGGCCGGCAAAGGCCCCGAGGGAAGTACTATTTCGACGCGAACCAACGGAGGACGTGAGTATCTCACAAGCACAATAGCGTACAGGCCGCCTTTTCGTCGTTCGTTCCTATAGTATTGAACGTTAGTGGAAACATATGCCGAACATTCAACATATGAATACCCTATGGATATATGGTACTTATACTTCACAAAACTGTAGGAATCTAATGTGGCATCACGATTATTATTATTATTATTTATACTCATCTACACACCCGTTGTCGATCGGGTCCTTACAAGTACCGCATTGGCCTCGAATGCCGAAGTCGTCTTCAACCACCTCAACGGACGGAGGGTCAGACTTACTGAGTAGACAACTCACATACGCAGAATGGCTAATTATCATTGCATTGTGCCGTAATCAATGTCCAGACTGAAATGCGTTCCTTAGTGATGAAATGTAGAAACAGAACACACAGTATACGAACTCTCAATCTTATACGTCATTCAGCTTTACCGCCAATAGTGCAACCTGTAAGGTCAGCTCGATGAAGCGATAGCATACATACTTAGCTTCGTTAGAGAAAAGATCGCACAATGATATAAAAAAAAAATGCTCTTTTATATCTAGCTTGAATTAGTTTCCCATAACTGACCGCTATGTGCTCAATATATGAACTGTGTGCTTTTGCTTAACGTCAATTGAGGCCTTTTGATGGATGTAGTCTTCCTCGATGTCTCTAAAAACACACCTGGTATTAAGGCACCAACGCTTGCGAACGCGGTCCCGTGTATTTCGGAATCAGCAGAACGTGCACTATCATTTAGATTGACAGCATAGTTGATACATATTCTAGGTTGAACTTTATATATGGACTGTATTAGCAGGATCCTGCCGTACTAATTAGGCAAAATTACCCCTATCCGACCGAGCTAAAGCGTCTGCTTCTACTGGCGACATTCATTCATTCATTGCTTTTCTTCCCGCGTAACGTAACGTTTCAAAGTTTACAACTCAGTGTATTGCATTTATCACACATATTTGTTTTCACATTCTTAGGTGCCACTTTGCCAGAGGAGCAGCTGCTCCTTGCTACAAATTCAACATCTGTCCAGCTCCACCTCGACGCATGGGGTCATAATGGCTGTCCAATTTCGTACTTCGTTGTCCAGTACAAAGAGGAGGGCAAACGGGACTGGATACTGTATTCGAATAACGTACTTATGCCACAAGCTGGCCAGCATCTAAGCAGTCAAGTAACCATCGGTGAACTGCAGCCTGGGTCGTGGTATAATTTACTCATGTCGGCCCATAATGATGCGGGTGAAACTCAAGTGGAGCTCAGTTTTGCGACGCTCACACTTAACGGAGGTACGCTTGACTTTATTTAGATGTAAACACTCGATTCGTTGCCGCAGTATTCGCCCACGATTCGAGTCCTTCAATTCATTTTTCTACGCTTCTTTTTAAGCTACCCTTCACGATAGCAATAGTGATTTTTATAGGACAGATTATATATATATACGAGGTGTTAAAAAGTGTCACGCAACCCTGTAGACGATAATGTTAAGAGAGGCACAGATGTGGCGACGGTCGTACTTCTATTTTCGTGGATTATTAACAGCGATCACTACAATCCATTCTCAACTAGCCATACGCCAGTGCCGTGAAGACCGTTCGACTAAACCATTATTCCGGTTCTTAAAGATACTTATCAATAGAAAACGTACGACTGTGACGGAAGATGTTTATACAGATTTCCCTAAGTAGATATCAAAAGAATCTAGGAGGTTCTCGCCTCATACACGATACATTTAACACATGTGGACACATTATACAAAATACGAGTAAGATTCAAGTTCCGGCACCTAACATGGGTCAGCATAATTTCTCTTTTCACTTTACATGCTGAGTGCCGTTTTTTTCGGGCGATCTATAGCTACGTTCGTCTGGAACTACCACGATTAGCAGAGACGCAATGTATTTGGTCCTTGCCGCCTTAAGCCGGTTGATACTCATTTCATTGCTGTTTGCTCTTAGAACACTGAAGTAATGAATGACTGATTTTCCTTCATATTCTTTGTCCTATTTTCCTTCTAGTTTTATAACTATCAAGTGTACACGTCTCCGAAGTACCATATATATTTACGCATTTTTTTAATTTGATCCCTTTCATCTTCTGAAAAAACAGGGGAAAACCTTACGCTTTTCAGAACAACACAAGCGTTTTATCTGATCTTCTACAAAGCACTTAGTGTAGTTAGTTAGCATCATACACTTAATTGTAGTTTCGTGAAACGGCTATGTTTGGGCAATCGCTGGTGCAAGCGCTGTTAATGTACTAATCAAAGCCGACCCATGTGGTAAGGCAGTTGGTCCAGCAATCCTATCGATCTTCCAGCGCGACACTCTCCGCCGCACAGGAGCGTGGCCTTTAAAAAAGCTGCTATTCAGGATTCGTTGATATAGAGCCTTATCGTTGAGCGAAAGGATCTACTAGTAAGCTAAACAAAACAGTCTCTTTTGTTTTGTACTGGTTCCGTTAGAGCTATCAATGTATGCCCATAAAGTAACGGGATATTAGTATGGTAACACTGTTAGGACAGAATAAGAACGTAGATAGTAAAAGGGCCCGATTCGTTTAGCCTTAGAGAAACGCTTGTCCGCTGGCGAGCGCTCTATGGAGAACCATCGGGCGATTTTTCAGTCGCATGCGTCGTATTCCCATACGTGTAAATACTTAGAAGTGACATAAATGAAAAGCCATGAAGCTTGTCGAGCACCTAAAGTCATTTTAAACGAAGCGATAACAAACTATGATATTTATAAGCACTGAAATAAGGCCCGCTAGAATTACTAAATATCACACGAAATATTCATTTGGCGTATCAATTACGAGCATCAAATAAACTCTGCCAGAAAGCAGCTGGCATTACCAAACGACTGGGCTTGCTATGCCGAAATGATAACCCAAAACCTAGGAAGAAGACAATATTTTTGTTCTTATAGATGTAAATGAATTATGCTCATGTCGGCTTTGTTTGTTACTTTTAGAATTGCCCCCTCGGCGATCGGAAGTCCGTGGCGTGGTGTCGCCTGGTGTATACACTCACCTAACCATCACCCTGCCCATTCTCAGTTGCATCGTCGTTATCGCAGCTCTTTGTGCAGCAGTGTGCTTTATTGCTAAAAAAAAGGCCTTCCATGAGACTGCCAGTGGAGAGGGTACGTAACGTCATACTGAAAGCCTATCGACTGTCTCCAATAGTTTCAGAACGATACTGGAAAGGAAAAGCTATGGGTGGTTCATATTTGTTTGGTTGTTATTTAATCTCTATTGGCACTTATTAGGGGACAGCAGTATGTACGAGCAGTCAAAATGTGACGGAATCTATCAGACGGTTAATCGACAAACCGCTGAGCCTATTTACTACCCGGCGCCTGGTATGGGCGGCATGGGAGAACGTAGCGCTTCTAATGATGTCCTGGCTGGTACAGGATCCGGTGGGGGCATGTTCGCCGCAACTGGCTATGACATTCCCCAGACGCATCGCACCTATGAGATGCCCTACCTCAACAAACGCTGTATGGCCAAGGCTGATTCGGCCCAGCAGCAGGCCATCATGCAGACCTGCTTGCAGTCGGGTATGTTTATACGTACTCAATGTAGTTCAAAAGACTAGCGAATGCTATATTCCAAACGGCTCTCTAACCTTCTTTCTGGCTAGACTAAGCTTTCCTGCACGTTGACGGACGGTGCTTCTATCTATCGCCATTGCTTCTGCTGGGCCACCGCACATGTCAGCGAAGAGGATACCAGTACATATAGTTGATTAGCGCTGCACGCCCGCTTGTCATTATACGGGCTGGTTGTCGGTAATCTATTATTTTATATGTACTCCGTACGGTGGGTACGTATGGTGTCGATATGATGTTTGCAGGACCGATTGGCTAGGCAATGCGACCGTCCCGTGCAGGCTCGCTGGTAGTAATAGCTACTCTAGCTAGAATTTTGTGTGTGCGTGTGTGTGGTGTCTGCATTTCGTCTGTTTGCAGCAGACCTGTCTAACTGTCGAAATCGAAACTTCATGCTCAGGACAAGCTGTCATCGCACCTACTGGAACCTTGTCGAAGTGTTCGATGGTGCAGCCGGGCAGCGCCACTCTGGGCCGTGTCAAGATGGCCAGCCAGTCGACGTTAGGGGGGCACACTTTGAAGCAACAGCAGCACGTATCAGTTCACCAGCATCCTTATCAGCATTCGCACAGCCACCAACACCCTCACCTCGGGGAACCCGGCGGCTCTCCACAGCATTGGAGGAGTCACAGCAACGGGCCACAATTGCAGGCGCAGCAACAACAGCAACAGGCCCAGGGGCAACAGCAACAACATCAGCAGCAACAGCAGCAACAACAGCAGCAGCAGCAGCAGCAAACACAGCACGGCACCCTGTCCAGTCAAGCGCTCCAGCAGATGCAACATCAGTCCATGCAGGGGGCTATGTGCTCCACGCTCAAGTCGACTCAACCTCACCAAGCACGCGATGGGTACGTGCCGACCAGCTTGCAACTCACCTATAATCAGTGAGTTGCCAACATCGCTAATAGACGCTATGGCAGTTACATGCACTTTGCACTTGTGTAGAATAGCTTTGAAAGTTTAGAAAAGATGCTTGCGTTAACCTGTGTTGGTTCATTGTTTAATTAGTAGTGCGTGAACAATTGAATGCGCTCAGCGGCTTAGGTGTATGGAGAGGCGGTAGCTCATGCTGGCACTGCTCTTTTTGAGCTTTATGGCTCTGCACCGGCATTACCAGTCCTGCGAAACTAACTTATTATCACCTTTGGTATTCCCCGTATGTCACCGTAGAGCTTCAGAGAGTGACGAGGATATCGGCGAATTGAAGGTGCGCGCTTCCGAATTTCGGGTCGCAACTCTGAAGCGTGGCTCGCTGGGTATGTGGAAGGCCGCTGAAGGTTTCGATACGTAGCACATCCACCCGCCGGAAACGAAACCGGCCACATCAACAACGGCGATGGAAGTCACAACAGGCCCATCCTATCACCAGAGTTTATTTTGATGTGCTTACCATGTCTGAATACTTTGCGTCGTTTAGCCTGCCGTAGCCGTAAAGCGTGCAATGGCCAGAAACAACGATGTTGAGTGTCTATCGAGGCTGATTGGATTGATGTACAAAAGAAGAGAGTAACTAAAATAAACAGAGAGATAAACATTAAAAAAAAAAAAAACACAAATCTAATTGCAATGCAAAGTCAGGCAGCATTATGTGGTATCGATGCGGATAAGTGGCACCCGTGAATCGACAAGACAGCAATTTCAATTCAACAACAAACGATGTACGTCAAATTTGATCGGATTCTGTCCTATCGACTCCGGGCGGTGATACCTGCCCGAAGTGCCCGGGTGTTTTAAGCTGAGACCCGCGATGCCTGTTGTAAATAGCGTCACCGACGAGGTTCGATGTTCGCGAATGGAGCGTGTGTATGTATGTGTTTAAGTGACGAAAAGAAAAAGCTCTACATTCACATGAGCTAAAAGAGATGGACAAACACACTATTGGAGAAAATAAAGAAGCCAACAAAAAATGTGCCGTGCGATGTGTGTACACTTTGTTAGGGCTCCGGAAGGTTACTAGAGGGATCCGGCGTTAGCGTTCGCCAGGCCTCCGGAGTATCGCTCAAATTCTAAGCGTATGAGGGTGGTACAGATGGAGGTGATAGGATTGTGAAGAGAGAGAGTGAAAGTGATGATGGAACGAATAAGAGACAGTTGAAACAAGTGACCGAGCGAGGAATAGAAGAAAAGGGTTTTCAAGAGAAGGACGCGTGATGTAACTTCGACTGTCTGTGTGGTCTGATCGAAAGTGAAGGATGGACTGTGTCAGAAATTGATTG